GATAAAGGAGATGAAAAAGGTAAAATGAGATGGGAGAGAGAGAAGGAAGTATTCCATAGTGTTGATGAAGAGGGACAAGAGTGGAAAAGATGTGTGATAGAATTGGGAATATTAGGACACCATGGACAAAAGGAGGAGTGAGGGGAAATAAAGAAATAGAGTTACCAATGGGAAGATTTTGATGGGCAATTTTCCATAACAGATCAGAGACTTTGTGGGGATGATGGTGATGGTGAATTTCTCTCCAAGATAAAGGACCAATGTGAGGAGAGGGAGAAAATGGAGTATAAGGTGGGGAGGGAGAGATGAGGAGAATAGAACGAAGAGAGGAGAGAGAGGGTGAGGAAGTGACAGTATAAGGAGATAGATTTTCAATGAATCTAGATGCATTAAGGCAAGAGTGAAGAGGTTCTACTTGAAGGCAAGTGCCTCGACGGTTAAGGATACAAGATGGTAAGGATTGGGAGAAATGATTAATTGTGAATTGATTCATTGCTTTTGCCCAAAAAGGGGGATCTGGATCAAAAGCACGGGAGATTAGTTTGGTATATCTAATTCTGCATTCGATTTTAATGTTGGGTAGAGAAATGCCACCATCAGAAAGGGGAAGAATGGATTTTTCAAATCAGGGGTGAATATGGGAAGAGCCCCAAATGAAATTGTTAATGGTGGTTTGAATTGATCTTTGAATGCTTTGTGAAGGAGGGCATATCTGATATAGGTATAAAATACCAAACTTTGGAGAGCAGGAGAGATTTTGAAAGGAGAATCTTGCCTTTTAGGGATAAATTACGAGAGGAGAGAGAGTTGGCCCGAGAGGTAAGTTTTAGCATTATTTTGTCCCCACCATTTGAAATCATCAGGTTTGATGTACGAATATCACCATGGACATATCTGGCATTATGCAGTAAACTGACTGAATTCTTGGCCAATTCCAGCAATCTATTGCTTTTGATTGTGTCAGGAGGTGATAGAGCCTCATAAACTGTAACAAATTGCTCTGGAAGAAGATATTCCATAACAATAATTTTCCACCCTCCAGCAAGTAGATTAACTGCAAAGAGCTTAGGTGCAATCCCAACGCTATGCAAAAATGATGAACTTCATCACCATAACTCCTTGCAAATTTGATCAGTAATTGAGTAGTGGTAATGATGTTTTCTTCATTCATAGTTTTTTCCTTTGCATTCACTATGTCCACAAGGAAAAGAAGTTTTTGGTCTTGCAGCCGTTTTTTGTACTTGAAGCGGATTTCCATACCATTCATTGTAAAAAAATCACGATACGGATAGAACATTTGTCTGTCTTCCTTAAGATCAACAGTTTCCAAATAGTTTACATCCAATTCACTATAATATTGTTTCAATGTCTGAATACCATCTTTCAATGCATGGAAAGCACATGCAACTAAAATCAAGCTCTCTTTATCATGTGCTGATGGTAGTAAAGTGAAACTATGCATAAGGGGATGTATTGTAAAGGTACGTCCAAATACTGCCCCTCCTATTCCGAGCATTGGACCAGCAAAATAGATGACAAAGGCCGGATTAAGACCATAACGTATTCGGCGGTCTTGGTTGGCACCAACAAATTTTGTGGAGAGTCCTTATCCATACGTGTAAATGCGTCATGTAGGAAATTGTAGACATCTTTCGTGAGTTTCAGAGCTTTTATCCAATCGAGCACACGTGTCTCCTGAAGAGTGGCGAAATAGCCAGGAGAAACCATATATGTAAGCATTTTTTCAGTCGATTTATTTTCAGGTTTATATTGGTTGCGCTGACAATAGTTCTGCAGGAGTTCTAAAGTGCACATAACGAGACTGGCATGTCCACGAGTAGAGGTGAGTATAGCATTCGTTACATCTTCCTCAATGACAAACTCAAAGTCATGCTCTTCCAAGGCATTGTGTGTGAATTTACCAACTATGTGGTTAAATTCGGCATGAGTGAGGCACAAGTCATCCAAACCTAGTTTATCAGGAAAGTCCAAAGGCGTTTTTGAGCCTGCACCAAGACAATCTTCATACATGCTTAGAAGGAGAATACATAAGGAGGGAAGAGTGGAGTTGGGGTAATATATTGGATGATCAAAACGGTCTTTCAAAAGAGCCCAGAAGAATTCAGCTTGATCATAGAGCACCTGACATTCATCTATTATGATATCTGTTGGAGATGTGTGAGACAAAAGGGAAGAAAATGAATTTCGTGTAACTTGTCTGAAAAATTCATCGAAACAGTTCAAGCCTTCCACAGAACGGGGATATCTCTCCAAAGTAGACATCGAAATGCGCACAATGTCATGTTTCTTGTTAATAAGGTAATTTTGGAGTAGTTTGGAGAGTGTTGTCTTGCCTGAAGACGGTGGGCTGCACAGGAGATTAATCCCCCTATGACCGTACATTTTGTTATTGATTTCCTCCAGCCAAGCATCAGAAATGAAGGCGAATTGGTCGACGGCAACTTCATGAGGTGTGACAACATATTCAAAGCTACGCTTTGCTGGAATGTGCTCCTCGTCAATACACTTTATATATATAAGGAGTATCAATACTCTTGTCCATATCATTAAACTGTAAACAACTCTTTTCCACCCTTTTGTAAGAAAGGACTATCTTGGTAATTGCTATCTTTGGGAAAGAGAGCATGCATTATATAAAAAATGTCACTCATATATTGATGAGTTTCTTATTTCTGTAATTTTTCTTTTATATCCTTCATTAGTTATTTCCAGACATCATACTTTTATCACCAAAGTTTTTAAGTTTAAGTTTCAAATCTACAACTCAAGTAAACACCTTTTTAAACTTTTTCTTTTTATCAGCATTTCAAGCACAATCTGAAGAATCAATATATTCAAAAAGTTTATCTTTATCTATATCTTTTAAAAGAGTTCAAATTTGACCTTGAAAATCCATAAATAAATAAATTGGATGAGTATAAGGTTTACCATTACCATTATAACCAGTTTTGATCACTAAACCATAACTATTAGCAGTAGCAGGAGTAGTAGGTTTATATAATTCAGTATGATGCAAAAGGGATTGTCTTTTCTTGCATATCTTTGCACATGATTGTTGCTGTCTTAGATGTTAGACTGTACATGATATGCACAGTTTCAAAGTGAATACCATCCCTTAGATTAGAAGGGTTAGAAAAACAGAGTGCGGGCTTGTTGGGCAGGCTGTCCTTCAGAACAAAGTTGAGAATGCAAGCGCATACTACATTCTGTCGTTTCCTCATATACTTGGTGGCTTGACTAACTGCACTCTTGATATTGTCATCAGAAACCTTGTTGACTTTGATTTCGATCCCATACTCATGGTGATTGCATGCCCAGATATCACATCTCTTCTGGGATTTGTTCACAGTTTTTGTCTCACAAAAGAGCTTGTACATTGGATATGCTATAGCTGTGCGTAGTAAGGAAAAGAGTTCTCCTTGGATAATTGCTTCAGCAAAAGAGTGTTGGTTGGCAGCCAGGGGATGGAAAATCACCTCACAGCAGATATATTGTAACCAGTAACAGGGTTAAGACCTTCTCCAAGAAATCAGCTGGTTTTTCAAATTTCAGATTCATTGGGATGCTGATCTCCATGTTATGGAAGGGATAATAAAAGGCTGATAGTAGATCAAAAATAATATTGGATGTGAAATCCAATAGGTTATCCCCCTCCTTGATAATACTGAGTGCGCGCAGGTGGGTAAGGGCAAGTGAATCCTCTTCAACAATATCAGATTTCTGCATAGTTCTCATTTGGAGAAAGCGCCCCAAAAGATTCTTCGCCTTCATCTCAAATTCTCCTTGTTGATCCAGGTACTTGTGAATGTTAGTGACAGCTGATAACTTGCTTGTCGAGGGGAAACGGATAAACCCTGTGAAACAGTCATCCCACGTATTGGAATCTAGATGATGCTCAGTGGAAGCAAATTCAATGCATAATGATGCAAGTAGCCCTTCTAGACCAGGATAGCCATCAGTGCGACTATAAACATCATCCACAACTTCTTTATCAAAGTTCATAGAGTAAGTTGTTTGAATATCATTAAACAACTTAATGTGTTGATCCATGGTAAAATCAGATGCTTCTACAATGCTAGTGGCATTCCATGGTGATGGAACTCCTGAAGGGCTTTGGAGAGATGGTTCCTGAATATTGTCACCTGATAGTGAGCACTGATTTCCAATAACCATCTTAACTTGTGGAGCATCCATCCTGATTAGAGTAGTTAATGCAAAGCTGCCAGCACACACAATAGACTTGATGCCTGGCAATGCCAGGCGATCACCAACGGCTTTGGTAAGAACTTTCAATTGGTTAAGCGCAGCATCTAAACCCGGGCGGCATAAGAATTCATCGAATGTACCAATTGCATATTCAAGACACTGGATCATTAATCATGCGTTAACAAATAACGTCTACATATTTTTAAGAAAAAAACAACATTTGCAACCGATTATTCTTACGCACTGCAAAACTATTCGCCAACGGCGGGCAGGATACACCCTCA